GTCAACCAATCAGCAATATTTTAACTTAGGCTATAACATGTTATAGTTTTCATGCTCTATCGCGACTCACCTAGAGTTTTGAACGAAGATTCGTGTGATTTGTATAACCTTAAAGTAGCAAGCGGTTTATCTGATTCAATGAGTACTCAAAATTTTGAGGACTTAACGAAAGGTCCCGATTTTCTAAAATGGTTTTGGCAAGGGACCAATGGAAATGAATTAATCCGAAGGCTAAACACGTATGCTCAAGACAATCGCAAGGGTGAATTCGATCGCATTCGCCGAGAGAAAGAGAGTCCCCACGTGTATGCGATAGTCCTGAATGATTATCCAAATGCTGATTGGAAGCTAGTTAAGGTTGGTTTTACTCACAAGTCTATCGAAAAGGATACCAATAATCGAATGGAGGAATTGAAGAAAAAAATTGAGAGAGAGTTCAAGATCGAAAAGGTAACAGCAGAAATACTGTTTCTAGTGCGAATCGGATCCGTTGACACCACTCCGTTTCAAGAAACAGAAGCGCGAATACGAGAAAAGGTTGGTAAACCACTAAAGAAAGAAAAGGCAAAGGAATTGAATCTGCCTGTACCTACGGAATGGGTTCTAACAAGCCAGGATCACATTTACAAAATCAAAGGAAAGCTGAAAGCTGGGAAGGCAGCTGAGAGTACGCAAGATCCGATTGATTCTTTTAAGTATATCGATCCGCCAACTACTCCGCCAGAGTTTCTAGATTTGGTAAAATGAGAAAAGAGCGAAAGAAGGAACAGAAAAAAAACTGAACGCCTGACTTTCTTGAGTGAACTAGACTGTAATATTGGCATCACTTGTAGCATTTAATGACGTCACGATATCTCAGTGTTGGTACGCCTTATTGTATATTTATTGAACTATCTTTAAAATATATATCAACTAGATTGTGCTAACTGTACTTGTATGTAAACCGTCTCAGCTGTGGTGGGACGTCACATCTTTTTAGATTTTGTAATGAACATAATCGTATGAATTTATACCATCCAATATATACCTTTAATCATCAAAAGAGCTGAGTGACAATTTGATGATTTCATAACTTTCAAGATGATTTGACTTCTTATTGTTTTCATTGTATGATGAATCTGTTTGTCGTTAAATAATACGTTTATGTAGTCTTCATGTCTGATGTTATTTTTATAACATTTTTCTTTATTCCTTTCGCCTTTCTACCACCTTTATAATTTTCTTTTACATAAGAATACATTTTTGATCTCACTGCAATGAATTCAGTTAAAGGAATACCTCATGCTTCATCTTTGGATTTTCGAATGGCTTTCTTACTTCTTTTATGAAAAAAATGTAGAGTTTTCATAACAGTCACTATTATCAAATTTGTCTTTATTTTTCCGAAAGTCGTGACACATATCTTCAGCTTCAATTTCATAAGTTAAACCGTCTGTGTTAGTGAAGAATAATTTAGCTTTGTTACCATACTTTTGTTGATATAATTATAATGAAAATCATTATACCGGTACATTAGGGTCTTAGAAAGATTACAAAACACATTGCTACATATGCCGACCTCATAAAAGTTAGTGTCTCTTTAATCTTTTGCACATCCAATAGATACTCGTTGAATATTTTTGAAAAAGTTTAGATACAATTCATGACTCAAAATAATTTAAATGGTGTTACTTTAAGTGATTATAGGAAAGCAAATTTGGCAAAGGCATTAAGATAAATCAGCTATTACTCCACGACTATCAAAATAATCCCATGATGAACAGCTTGGAAATGATGAATCGATCGATGCTCACAAAAAAACAACTTAAAAAAATCCAAAAAATAATTACATCTGGTGTAGGTATTGATGTCAAGATATCAAAAACAAATTTGTCACGCTGCAAGGAAAGGAGGTCCACTGTTTAGTTCTCTTGTGAGACTTGGCACAAAAGTGCTATATATAGCTTCTAATGGCAACAAATCTTACCTCGCGGGTACTTCCTGGGTTTGCAACTGGTGCATGAGTAGCCATTTTTTGGAATGAATAAGATTCTTGGACAAGGCTGGTATCAGTACACGAGCTAGAGAGGTGATTTCCTTATTCCTCAGAATAAAACTGATCAATTGATCACACACAGTAATCAGAAATAATGCTGCCGACAGAAACCGCTCGATTATATACATCTGATGTTCCTGGAAACTTGATCGTTTATTGTGAGTGAAGCTATTGATGAGAACTACTAAGCTCATTGTGACAAAATTTAAACTTCCGGTAATTGCTGAGACTACTAGATTTTTTTGAGGTGTTCTTCCAAGGATACATCACAGATCAACGGATAGTGTTTTCCACCCAGCTTTACATACGGCATAGCAAATTTTGATTGTTCTTCAGTTGTGTCCTCCAAGGTTACCAGATGGTAAGGTAAAGACAATCTCTTTACAAAATTTTTGGGGAAAATTTCGTTGAAAAGCTATCATTTTAGGAGGTTGAGGGTTCAAGCCTCGTACCAGACCAACACTTAGGGTCTTCAAATAACTGAGGAGAATGTGCTGCCTTTGCTATGACATCTACAAGGGGTTAGACATTCTAGTCTTCTCGGATAAGAACGAAAAACCGTAGGCCCCGTCTCCTGAATCGTCTCTATGCTGGTTTGCAAGGGACGTTAAAGAACCCACACATTCATTGCAAATAGTAAGGAACTCCTGGTGTTGTGGTCTGGCCTTGATTCTGATAACGAGTGATCCATTGCAATTGGCCAGGCTGTAATGATCTCCCTGCCTAAGAAATTAGGCGAAGCTAAATAGATAAACAAACTCCTATACTACTCGTGACGTTATGGAAACTACTTGAATTGAACAATGCTTAAAGCTGGAAAGAGGATACTCAAGTAGAAGGTTTTGAACATGTGCATAATCAGAGCTAGCCAATAAACGTGTGCAAAAAGAACTCTTTACGTGTGTGGCATTTTAACGCTAGATTAACAAACGAATCCATTTGGGGCAAAAGCACGTTCAGGTAATTGTACGTGATTAATAATTCAGTTCCGAGAAACCGTTAGCCTCAAGTGCAGGCGTCTTATTAGTGCGAGTTAATGTTATGAGCTCGTGATCGTTTATCCGACATGTTTAATTTGGAGTCAGAGAGGATGGTGGGGGTAGGGGACGGGAGAAGGGCGAGAAGACTCTCCCACCCCAGCCCCTCTCTTTATTTTTGACCGTCACTCACCCCATTGGTAGAAATTTCTTTCTCTCCCCAGCCTTCCGCTGCCATTTAAATCAAAGATGGTGGCCATTTTCCGTCAAGAATATACTAAGCACTCGCTCCCCCAAATTACGCCTGCTCTGCAGACTAGCAAACCGTGCGCCTCAAGGAACAAACTTCTTAGAACAAATAAATGCCTATCTTCGAGCCAAGTAGATTCTACTGTGTTTATAAGCTCTCGAGCAAATTTGCTTTGAGCAGAAAAGGTTTACAAACAGCTTGGCGTCAAACATTGGTTAAGTGGAACGTGAATATGTGATGGATTATAAAGTAAACTAATTAAATCGAGTGAATAGAAGACAATTTTCTCTAATCTCAGCTTAATCCATTTGAGGATCGCAAGCAAAGTAAAGGCTTCATTATCTCGTTTGCCTTTCATTAAAACAAGAGATGGTTCTGACTCGAGGCATACCTTGGTCGAAAAATCGTCATGAAGCCACAATAGATGAATGAAGGTTACCACCAGGATCAACATAATTTTGCGATCATCTGGCAAATTCTTGTGTATCGGCGATACCATTTAATTGTTCTCACGTTTGACTTTTTTTCAACGAAACAGGATTGCCTTGGGGCAATGCAAACTTTGGTCGTGGAACATCTCAAGAAACGCTACTCGGCCAAATGGAAAGAATTTAGGACAGCAACTGCCTGAAGTGCATCTGAAAAAAAAAAAAAAGCCACCACCTATGCAGAAGATAGGCTTTGTATACGCTTTGTGTGCTTTCTTTTTAATTTTTAACAGGCTTACTTTTAATCGTAGTTCTCACAGTTTCCCAGAGGTTTTTAGCAGAATACATGAAGGTTCTTCAATTACCAGGACAGGTCCTAACCTAGGTTTACAAACATTAGACATCCTTACTTAATCCTTTCACCCCCCGGAGTTCCAAACATCCAATTGCTCCCAACAGTTTCATCCCCGAAACAAACAGTATGGTTACGAGAATAAAGGAAATGATCACCAACTAAAGCAGCTTTCGATTGTTTTACAAATTCTCCTTGTGTGCACTTTAGGAAATTTAAGAGAGCAGTATGGAGAATATGCATATTGAGGTTAGGGGTATAAAAAGGTTTAACGATTGTACAAAGCAGGTATAGACGCTAGGAAGGTTAGTAAAGATTTAATGATTTACAGGGTCGGAAGTTTCCAGGGGCAAATGGCCATAACGTAACTATAGAGGCTGATGGAAAAGCTGTTACAGCCAGTTTTTTTCAAACAGCTAGTGTACGTTTTGTTATCCTAGTTCCTCAGTCTGTTTTTTTTTTTTTTTCCATAGAGAAGCTCTAGAGAAGACTGCGTTTCATTCCCTAATTCTTGTACAAGAGGAACAAGTGCATCAATCAGATTTATAAACATAGTTGTTGATTAGTCCCCGCTGTCAAAGCCAATGAGATCTTCTATCATGGCACTTTTAGCTTGCATGTGGTCTGTTGCGTTACATTACTATTCAACAAAATCGAAAAAAAAAACAAAACAAAACAAAAACACAAAAAGAAAAACAAACAAACTCGTGGCTGGCGCGCCGCGTAAGTCTCTGGGAGTACTATTAGAGCATCTCGGCAATCCCTGTGTTCCGCGTGGCGCACTACCCACCATTTGCTTTTTTTCGAACTCGCGAGACGGATTTCGCCGAAAAGGAGGGACCGCTCGTAGACCACAAAGATGAGGCCTGACGCCATAACTATGCCAAAGGCTCGACTCTTTCACAGTAGACTCTTAAGGGCTATGATTGTCACAACATACCATTCAAAGGCTAACATATATATTAATCAAACATTGTTATATATTATGAAGGATATAAATCAAGTATGACATTACATCAAGTTTGAATTTAAACGTAATGTGGGTGATTTAACTGATAATAAAAACTGAAATAATTATGTCTGGTGACTCTTACTATAAAATATACATAGTTTCGATTACACTATGAATCAATGTTAGCTCGCTGATTCAAACCCACGTACATCACTTCCAAGATCGAAAAAAACGCTGCTAGCTGGCGAGAGTGGGGAACTTAAGAAAACGACGACGACGATGACAACGAGGTGGCAAAAAAAGATCGAATGGACAGAACAATAGCTCAGCACCTGCATTTTACATCCTTGTATATTTCTTAGCCGTTCTCTGCAAAGCAACGCGTGAGATCACCAAAATTTGCGTGTTCAGAGAAAGCAAATCTCGTTATGCTGAAGTTAAGGTGTGGCGCCGTGAGAGACACGTCTAACCATTCACAAAGTTCTAATCAAAAATACAAAACAGTTTTTCAATCGACGTCTACCTTGTTCTGACTGCTTTAATTCCCTATTTAAGAAAACAGTAATCACAAGACAGGGGCGGATCTAGAGGAGGGGTGCAGGGGTTACGTATTCCCCCCCCCCGACATGACCTGCGGACATGTAATATAACTAAACGGTTATGTAAAGTCTGCCTTATAGTTTGCTCTGTATAATCAGCAGTTCACATTATTTTATTCCCTATTCATACGCCTTCTTTCTATTCTTCGTTGTTCGCAGGTAAAATTTGCTGACGACACCTGTCAGTTACGTTACTATTTACCCCTCCTAGGAAAAGTCCTGGATCCGCCCTTGCAATATTGGAATATTTCTAACAGCATCAGCAGCTCTAATATCATGCTGCTGCCTGTGTAGGTATCAAGAAAATCACAACTGGTAGGTGATTGTAATACGTAGCGGATCGATCATTTGTAAAAAATCTATTGGAAAACATATTCGACAATCGTTCAATAAATTAACTGGTTCCCTAAATTAAAGGCAAGAATTAATCATGTCATCTTGAAAATGACAGCTAACGTTGTTACAAACAACTGTATAAGGTTCGGTACTGTGAGAGTATCAGACACATTGTAGCTACATTGCATCTCGACGTTTTTCAGAGCAGGGCATTTTTCTTTCTTTTTAAGACTCGTTTGGGTCTCAATGTGCGCGCATGTGCCGTTTACGATGCGAAATGCACCTGAGTCGTACACTCGGTTGCTAATGTGGCAGTTAAAGTTATAAAAGTAGGATTGACGGTACTCGCTCCAGTTCTCTATCACAAGCAGATACAGATTAGTCCTGGGGAGAGCCGAGAGGAAAAAGTTCCCAGATCTGCAAGGACCATCAACTGAGTCAGCAATTATGCCATCAGAACCTATCAAATGAGATCGATGGAAGTCAATTCTCTTACTGATACAGATCATCACGGAAAAAAAAAACACAAAACATAAAAAGGTGTTAAGAGTAAAATTCTAACGAGACCAAACTCTACAGCGATCTGATTGGCTAGCTGCTATAGCTTCACTGACAAATTATTGACAAATCTACACAACACATGCGAATGTTTATAATAAACCAAGCTCACCCAGAACGGCATCATCTGAAGTGTAGCCTACAACATCTTGAATGCAGCCGTACTCGTTTCTGAATGGAGGAATTGGTCCTCTGTTCTTGTAGTAGTCATCTTCCTGTTCAGGCGTTCGAACTATCCCTTCCAGTGTCACCTGAAAGAAAAATCAATAGCGATCATGTAATACGAAGGGTGAGAACTTCAAAACTGCATTTATCTCATGAGAGACTATCGAATTTAACGCGCAGAATCGTCGTTTTGTACCTACAAAGTGAATTAGGTTGCCAATCGCGGACGCAACATGCGCGAGCAACACAGCAACACAAAGTAACTAAGATAGATAATTTAAGACGAATGCGGAAAGTGAAAAGGCTCAATATGTCAAGGAATTCCTCGGCTGTACCTCCATCAAACAAAAAGTAAACTAATCAAGAATTACCTGCAATTCTCGGAGAACGAAGAGCTCTTTGCAAAATATGAATGGAAAACTTGAAGCAGTTGTCAATTCTATAGAATGGTCATCCAATAAGCTTACTGATGAGCTCACAACATTTGGACAGTCATACCAAAGAAACTTAGTTGGTCGTAGCTCTAAAACGACTCGAACATTAAAAAAAAAAAAAAAAAAAAAAAAAAACACTGGCAGAGAATAATAAGCGTTAGTTTGGACATACCTTTGGTGCATACGGGGAAACGCTGCAAATCCCCTGGAAATCAGCCCGCTGGTTGGGAACAAAGAACTTATGCTTCGTGACCAAAAGTTTCATTACGTCACCCTCTTTACGACCCAAGCTTACTCGTTCATATTCCCGCGCATCTGTGGTACTCGCCAGAAGAAAGTCGGGGTCGGTGACTAAATTTGCCAAGTTATCCACTAAGTAACATCTGAGGGTTTTAAAAAAAGTCAAGCGGTTTGGGACGTTCTTTTCTTCTCTGCATTGTAAGATAATTCAGTTTTATCAACTGAGTTGATGAATTAATTTAGCCATCGTACAGAGTTTCACTGTTACTCGGTAGAAGCGTGGGGAGGGATTTAAGAACTGTAATAAAAATATAGCGAGTTGGGAAATTGAATGTTTGAAGAGCCTTTCAAAGGATGGATAACGAGGAGCACTCAACAGCTGTAAATATCGCGCTATCACTCTAATTTTCAAGGAAACCCGAAAATTCCCCGCGCCAGCTACCCGTTCATTACCCGCTCTTCCCCTCAAATAAAAACTATTTTTACAAAATGGTTTTGCACGCGGCCTCAACTCGAAAGTGAGTGCTCTTGATCTCGGAAATAGCCTGTAAGTATCAGTAACGGTATTGCATACCTCGTTTGGCACACGTGCTCATCATCAGGGCACGTGTAGTTCATTCCGCAAGACTTCTTCTCCCCTGAACTGTCCAGCAACCCGTACACTCGGCGATGAAAGTCATTGTATAGGATATCCAGGGCTGTGACTGCTTCAACTCGATCACCAGCGCATAACGAACGATTTCCTTCGTAAACACGACACTTGCCTGAAATACACTGAACATCCCTATAGTTTGAAGGAAGTGCAATCATTAACCCTTTACGCCCTAACATCAGTATGCATATTCTCCATACTGTTCTCTATACATTTCCTAAGGTGCTGACAAGGAGAATTTGTTTAACAAGCAAGAGCTCGTTTGGAGGGTGATGAATTCCTTTACTCTCCTGACCTTAATGTGTGATTCAAGGGTGATATAATAAGGAGAAATTAGATGCCAGTCACACTTTGTTTTTGGGGTCAAAGGGTTAAACTAGTAGTAACAATAGGTAAAACATTTCGGGTAACCCTCAAAATTGAGACACACCAAGAAGTGTCACACCCTGACAAGGCATGACCCTGAGAAAATGAAACACTTCCGTCGCGCAACATGAAAATATGAGACAACACGTGAAAAAGTATGAAACAATGCTAGAAAGGTGACACAGTGCTTGTGGCGCCGTGACGTCGTAAGATATGGTGACATGGTGTGGATAACACAAAAAAACACAAACTGAATTAGTGTGACACGCTCTGAAACAAGGTGAGATAATGCGTGACATAAAGTGACAGACTGTGGCAAATTGAGACACAATGTCAACACTGTGACAGTATGCCGTGTCACACAGCAGAAGCTCCGGTTCTCTGTTATCACCAGACTTTTCATGTGCATTGTCATACCTTGAACATGCGCATCCTCCTAGCAGATTAATTGTGCCTCCGCAAGTAATATTGGACGTGTTTTGTGGTAATGCCTGGAAAACAGCTTCAGAAATTGTAATCACTTTTCCGATACCATTCGCGTCCATGTAGGCATTCGACACAGCTGCTTTGGCCGGGTTCACTAGGGCACGATGATACCATGGCCGCCTGTAAGATTTCAACGTCAGTTATTGATATTTTGTATACGTTTCATTAATTACCCTTTCAGTATTTAAAAACTAGCCGTTTTGAAAAGTGAATAGGCCCTTCTATGGAAAAGAATAGTTGGATTACGTGAGAAAGAGCTTTAAAAGAAATATCCAGCAATGATGAACGTTTCACCTGCTGGAATTCCCATTTTTACTGTCGCTAGAGGAATCGTAAAATATGAACCAAGGCAACGATGAGAAATAATTCTGGGGTTCTACTTTTACCACTTTTCTAAACATCTTCTCTGAGCTTAAAAATCTATTCACAAAAGCCCTATTGCCACACAAACAAAATTAACTACAAAACCAAATAGAAGGCAAATGTAACCAAGTTTTTATTCCTCTTACTTGGTTGGGTCGAAGTTCTTTCGTGTGCGGTGGCCTGGGTAGGAGCGGAAAATACCACTTCGTGTACCAATGTAGGTCCAAGGAACATCTTTCAAAATCTCTCTCGACCGGTTGTTCTTCCAAATGTCCTCTATTAACGATGTGATCTCCACATCGGGTCTGCAGCGGAGTAAAAGAAGAAAATTGAATAACCGTCGCATTGTCAGTGCATTTTGAATCGATTACCAAAAGCCTGCATTTTGAAACTATGTAACTAGCTTGGGTTCCATCTGGAAAAATGTACGAGCTACAGACGGGAACAACACTTACGTTCTTTAAAAAAGAATTAAGCAAAATATAATGCCTTCTGTATATGACCTCTGTAAATAATTTGGTATTCTGTTCTTTTCTGATGAAGGCCATAAATCGTAGGCACCGTCTACCACGTCAGAAGGGGAAGTTAAGGAGCTTCCACACTCATGACGAACAGTGAAATCTTCAGACTCTTGAACGAGTTCGAAAACGATTTCTCGTCTTTCCTATTAAAAATTCAGTTACATCAACATTCGTATGTGATAATAGAGCAACTTTCAATTGAGTTTCGAAAATAACTGCTGATTGCTTTGTTTTTTGCTTTATTTCGCGCTCTGTGATTGGTCCAGAAAACTCGCACACTTCTTTGACCAATCAGATTCAAAACTTGATAACTTTTCCTGCGCTTCAGGCGGGTAGCTTGTCTAAACCTTGAGTTCTCATTGGCTCCTTGCAATCTTTTCCTTTGCTCTGATTGACTGTTGTGAATTTTTTTTGGCTTTGGTTTAGCGACACTCAATCGTAAAGCCCTCCACGAACCGTGTTTTCATCGTACCTAACAGAAGCACGAAATCTTCCTTGTGGACAGTCACTGTTGCCACCCTCCCCGTTCAGAAAACGATGTGCTTCAAGGGTGATATCACTGTTATTTTCCCTGAAGAGGAAGTTATTTGGGTTACAGTAGGTCTTAGGGCTCAGCATCACAGTGGAAACGTTAAATGTCACGGGTAAGTCAGGGAAGAAAGAGACGTTGTACTCAACACCGAAATCTTCGTACAAATTTCCCAAAACCTGCAGAAGAAAAGAAATTATCTATTTAGCAAATAGATCCCATGTTGCCATGCGTCCGTTCAGTAATAGTTCACAGATAGCGTCAAAATATGGCTAGAACAACAAAAAGTAAAATTCTACGCAAACACTAAGGGTGAGGACAGAGCTTGGCTGTATATGTTTTTTAAACTTAAAACAAAAGGAAACTTGAACTTGTCGTCTAATACCTGGTAAAAACATCAAGTCGCACTCACACCAACAGACTAATTCAGCCAGAGCTTATTCTGGTTTACATGAAGCGACTAGTAGTATTACTACTCTCCCCTGGATGGGATGCCAGTCCATCACAAGGTCCCCCCACCCCTGCATTACTCGCACCAGGTGTTTCGTTCAGCCGGAGCTTATTCTGGTTTCCATGAAGCGACAAGTAGTTTTACTACTCTCCCCTGGATGGGATGCCAGTCCACCGCAAGTTCCCCCCTCCCCCC